TTTTTTTTTTTTTTTCAGTTAGATATGTGGCGTAAATACATACAGTGGGAGAAAAGTAACCCGTTAGGAACTGAAGAATACTCACATTTCGCCAAACGAGGTATAATTTCAATTTTGTGAATGTACATGTAAAAAAAAAAAAAAGAGATCATGGCATGTGATGAACATAACTGCTAGAAGTTTGAAACGTTATAACTGGTAAGCGACAAAAAGTATGTGCAGAAACGTAGGCTATCAGTTTTAAATTATCGCTAGGCAGGCCTGATCGTTTCAGTCCAAGTAGTGGTGAATTGGTCAACACAGATGTAACTTTCAGAGAGTCACAGAGTTTTGCTCGTCATTGATTTCGTTTTTGGGTTTTAATTTAAAAAATTGCAGTAATATTTGCGTACGAGCAGGCTCTTTTATGCCTTGGCTATTATCCGGATATGTGGTACGAAGCTGCACTCTTCCGACAGCAAGCTGCCTCTGTATTAGCTGAAAAAGGAGATGTGAAATTATCAGCTTCGATGAACACCGATATCACTCGTTAGCATTTTGCTGTTTTACGATTTTCGAAAGTTCTTCCTTTTTTTTTTAATTATTGAAATAATCTGCACAAGATAGTCGAATTTTTTCTCATTTGCTTACGGTGACTTATTTTGGCTGGGCTTCCATGGCCCTTTCTTTCCTTTCTATTTCTAAAATGCATACGTGGTCTTTTTGGGCGTTTTCAACTCGAAGTCTATGCAAGGAAGGAAATTTGAAGAAAAAAATCATTCGTATATATGAAATTTGCAAGAAGAACGACAGAGATAATAGACTAGCGACAACAGAAATGAACAAGCTGTTTGTTGTTAATGCCTAACGCGGAGGAGTGCGAGATGTTGATGAATCTAACTCATAATGAACGCAAAAAAGAAGAGCGAAAGCGGCTATATATTGTTCAATACTTAATGCATTATCAGAGATTTTTTCGTAGTACTTTCCTTCACTACCAATCACCGCAAGGTTTGGCACAAATATGTATTCCGACTGTAGAAGAAAGGCGTTGTACGAGGCAAGCTAGCGTAACAGGCCGGATAAAGTCGAAGGGGAAAATAACAGGTCTGAAAAACTGACTGTGCAGTAACGTCAGAAATGTCGAGGACAGTGTCTGTTCAGAAAGCTCAAGTACGCAAAAACTAGTCAGATACACTCAACCTCAACGGTTATATATGAGGATTTTCGCAGCTATGGAAATGCTGCTGGAGAAGAGAAAAAGCGTAAAAAGAAATAAAGCTCGAAGCTTGGAGTTTTCTTTTCTATGCCAACATATCCCTTATGCAAAGCGAGGGAAGAACCACTAACACTGGCAGAGGTAGTAGCGCTTCAAAAAAAGCAGAGCTTGTAAAAATGCAGGAGGGAACCGCATACCTTAAAGTAATGGCGGCGTTTAGGAAGTGAAGGACTTCGGAACTGTAACAGGCAACATGTATAAAATGATAATTGAGAGACGTTACATATCTGCGAGTGGTAGGTACGAGACTGTAAATGTTCAGTCGGCCACCCTCAGAGAACATTTGCATATGTGCAGCAGACAGTTTGATTACTGAAGATACAGTTTGGGATTGGAAGGCCTGACATAACTTTTTTTACCTCCCCGTTTCCCTCACTTCAAATTTTCTGAGAGTATCCCAGATTCGTATGGTTATGTTAACTTCAATGACAGCTTTTCTAGAACTATTTGAACGTGCTGTGGGTGGACTTCTGAAAGAGAGTCAGCTTCTATTTTTTGCGTATGCTGATTACGAGGAGGAGCGTATGAAATATGATAACGTAAAGAAAATCTATGATCGACTTCTTGCGATTGAAACTGCCGATCCTACTCTGGTAAGGCCACAACATTTTAGAAATTCCTTCAAGAATATCCGGAGCACTTGTTAGCTGGATCTCTACCTTCGCAGCTGTCATTTTTTTCTTCAGTTATGGAAAATTAAGAAATTTTTTAGTGATTTTTAACGTGAGTTTCTAAAATTGGTTTCCAGGCCTACATACAACTGATGAAATTCGTAAGACGAACAGAAGGTGTGCAGTATGCGCGTGCTGTTTTCAAACGAGCTCGTCAGGATCCGCGCTGCAAGTTCCACATATACGTTGCATCTGCACTTATGGAATATTACTGTAGCAAGGTTTCCTCTCACTTTAATTTTTATGTATTTTTCGATGATAGTTTCATGAGTTGATTGTTAATATTTATTCTGAGAAACCACAGAAGACTTCTGTTTTTTCAGGATACTGATATTGCGATCCGTGTATTTGATATGGGTCTAAAAAAGTATGGCGATGAGCCAGAATACGCTCTTGCTTACGTTGATTTCTTGTCCCATTTGAACGGTATTCACTGACTTTTTGCAAATTTTCCTTCAATTTTTTTTTTGCAAAAACAGCCTTCTTTTACTTACGAAAAAAGTTTTTCTTGTACATTTCGCGACTGCCTTTAATTTTCTGTTAATGAAAGTTGTTTCAGAAGATAACAATACACGTGTCGTCTTGGAGCGCATATTAACATCGGAATTGATGAAGCCTGAGAAATCAGTGTTAGTTATAATTTAATCATTCCAAGTTGATTGGTCATAATCTTCCCTGAATGATTTTGAGCGCGAGAAATCTATCTGCAGGGAGATTTGGGATCGATATTTGGAGTTTGAGTCACATGTTGGTGATCTGGCGAGTATACTGAAAGTTGATCAGAGGCGACGTGAGGCACTCAAAGAGCAGTACGGTGAGATGCAGACGCTGTTGCTCATTGATCGATATAAGTTCCTGAATCTCGTCCCTTGCACCACCGACCAGCTAAGATTGATGGGCTATTCGGTATGTTTTTAGATTGTTCTTGTCCAGTACACGCGGATACGCTTCCACGTTTCCTCCACATTTCACGTAGAGATACGTTCAATTTGAAACTAATAGTTTTACAACTCTACAACCAGAGTAGCTGGAGTGCTTGTGTGTTTGATCCAGGATCATATTTACAAAAAATATATGTGAAAGCAATTTCTACGTTCCCTTCATCTCTTGGACGAAACATTTTGGCGTTAACGACTTTTGCATAATATATTAACAGTGTGAAAGTAAAAATTAATGAATCTGAGCTTCATATGTATTTATGTTCTCTTGTCTGGAAGTATTTGACCGAAATAACATTCCTATTTAGCAACAATTATCTGTACTGAAAAGTATGCATTAAGCACATGGTCGCACTGGAAAACCTGATGCGTACTGTCACTTGTGTAAAAAAACCGGCGAATTTTACAGAAAAAATTGGGACAAGGATCATCATTGATCGGACGTGCTTCAGCTGGCACTGTATCCCTCTCAGCGAACGGTGTCCAAGCAACAGGTCATATTTCACTAAAAATTTTTCCACAAATATTCTGCTCCAAAAATGAATGTAATTTTTATCATTTATA